GCTGGGGAACAATTTCTACCTGATGGGATCTCTCCCTGCACCAGATAGCTTTGCGAAGAGGCAGATTACCTTTCAGGAGCCACCTGAAGATTTCCTCTGTCATGTTTTTCTTCAGCTTTGAATGTGCCTTGTGGACAGACTCATCTGTCACTGCTGACATCCACACAGCCAGGTTTGTAGTCAGCGTTAGCATCAAGCCACATCTGCAGGAGGAGGAGAAGGTTTGTGACATTAAAGCAGTGGCTCTAGGCCATGTTTCTCCCATCCATGGTTTAGGTGTGCTCAGAGGGACTGTGGCATCTGCCTGAAGTGGTGCAAGGACCCCCATGGCCCAGGCTAGAAATCTTGATCCTTTCTTTGCTGCCCTCACTCTCTTCCTAGTTTTTGTCCATGTTAATGGGAATTAGCAAGGCTTGATTCCCATTTTTGCTTTTGAAAGAGCTTCTCAATAGTGAATAAATTAAAAGATCTGAGTTGGTCTCTGGATCCAGTCTTGCAAAAGTGGACAAAACCTTATTTTAGCCTGAGGTTTGCCCACTGCATAGTTATCTTCCCCAGGGATGAAAAAGTCAACTATGAATCATTATTTAATGATAATTATTTATTTAATACTATTTGCTTTGAGTAATGCTTGTATTCTTTAATTTAATCCCAACCCTGATAGATCCACAGGTCATTAACCACAGCTGCTTGAGCTGGGATCTAAGTTTAGCTGGAGATTGAGCAGGTTTCATTTTGGACAGCATTAAGGGATAATCCCCTGGTTACATCTTAGCTGTGTGAGAGAGTACAGAATGCTTTTGGGGGCCCAGGTCTGCAAGGAGCATCAGTGCTCACCTGGTAACGTTCAGGTGCACGTGGATGCAGTCTTTGGCAGAGACCCACAGGAAATATGTCTGCAGGGAAAAAAAAAAAAAAAAGGAGTTGTTATTTCCAGCAAAACAAAAAACCAAAGGACATCCCTGTGAAGGAGGGATCTCCCTGCAGCACAGAGAGCAAGCTGGAGCCTCTTTTGATTGGGTCCATCTGGGCTCAGCCTAGTTAGTAACACTGGCCCTCTGCTGGATGTTCTTTCTTTGCTCCCACTGCACTGCTCTGCCCATGGCCACTCCTTGTTCTAAATTGTCCCTCTCTGATCTCTTCCCTCCTTGGCATTGTCCCAGAGCAGGAGGTCCTCGGTGTGGGCCCTCAAACTGCAAGGTAGCCCCTGCCTTGACTGTCCTTCTGCTCCTCTGTTCCTCATGGGAAAGAAGGCCTGGCTGGCTGGGGGCTGTTCGGAGTTTGTGACAAAAATGTCACAGGATGTTGACAAGTTTAAATCACTTAGAGTGAGTTGAGTTGCCATAGATGGAAGCTGTTGTGGTTGGAGCAAGAAGATGTGGGCTGAGTTAACCCGTTGCATTTGCTGTGGGGGCAGTTGAATTAAATCCAAGAGACCAGAGCTCCTTCCACTGCTTCCTGTGTCTTTCTACTGCTCCCCAAGACAGAGCACAACCATCTCACCTGGACAACCACAAATATTGCCTGCACAATGGGGTAGATGATTTTGATTGCAGACAGGCAGCTGTAGAAGCTCGAGTAATATCCTATTTTGAACACATCCATGACAAGGCTGAAAATGGCAAATAGGATCAGGCCTCCTGTTGGGGAACAAAAATATCTGTGGTTGGACAGTTGTGTGCCCACACGGGCTAATGCAGATGGATGAGAGTAAGAAGAGGAGATGTTGTCATGAAGAGGCTTTGCTACTGCTGCTGTTTTTCCTCTCTCAGCACCCAAAATATCTTGGCAGCAACAAAATCATACAGTAATTTTGGCTGGAAGTGATTTTCAACCAGCCTGGTATGCTGGGGCTAACAGCTCTTGCAAAAGCAGCCTGAGAGACCCTGGTGTAAGACCCTGGTGGTCACCAAGAGCCTTTGTGGATTCAGGGAGACCTGGCAGTGAACCCAGTGCAGGGACCAGGAGCTGACCTGAAGCAGGGCATGGTGCCATGCCCCAGTCCATCAGCAGGAAGAAGCTGTGCCCAGATCTTTGCTGCTCCCATGAAGTGTCCATCCCGTATCTCCCCGCCAGCCCCAGCACCTACCTCTCAGCCAGATGGGCCCGGCGTGGGAGTCCTTGCCGAGGATGGCACCTGGGCACCGGGAGGTGCCGGCGAGGTAGAAGATGATCCAGATGATGACAATCAGCATCATGACTGTCAGCAGGAAGAAGACGTCGTAGTCGTGCACGGCAATCTTCTCGAAAGCCCCGCTGCTCACCAGCGTGCAGGCCAGCAGGGCCAAGTGCACGGCCAGCAGGATGGAGAACATGCGGCCACCCTTTTTCCACACTTCCTTGGAGGCAGGAGTGGAGGGGGGCTGGTGGCTGAAAGATGCTGTCTGGCTAGAAGCCAGGCTGGCTTTGTCGTCCTTGTGTCCGCAGCCCATGCTGCAGTGGGGGTGTCCGAGCTCGCTGTCCTTCTGTCCGGGCTCCTCGGTCATGGCTCAACCAAGGCTCTGCCTCAGGGTCAGTGCTGTTAGGAAGAGAGGCCCGTGAGTGAGAGGTGCATTTGCAACAGCCCAGGATTGGGCCAAAGCAGGATGTGTGATGAGGAGCACAGGATTTATCACAGCAACAGGGAAAGCTGAGACAGGGAGTGCAAGAAGGGTGAGCTCATTTTCAAACTTTCCTTTCCTGGTTCCCTGACGGCTTTCTTTATTTAAGATGCTCTTGCTCAGGAAGATCCCAGGTCAGTATAATGAAGTGTGTCTAATTGGTCACACAACATTTACGTGTTTACTGATGCAAGACTTGGAAAAGCACCAAAAAGAACTCACAGGATCAAATATCCTGGGGCAAACAGCCATAATTTAAATTCTAAATGTCAAACACTAAATATTCTGAGAAATTGTTATACTTCCTTGCGCAAGAACAAGCCACCAAAAGGTAAGAAACCCCTGGGAATTTTTGGACTATCACATAATTCGTAGCAGTTCCTGCAGGAAGGGTGTAAACTATCTGAGTTGTCACACTCTCTAAAGCCTCTTGCCTGTGCCAAGTTTGGTATTTCATTCATCCTCAGTAAAAAGCCTGAAACAAAAGTGAATTAACCATCTAAACAAAGCCATTCCACCAACCTGTTTTGCTGCCTGGGATCCAAATCTCTGCTCGTGCCAGGCTGAGAAGTTTCCCTGTTGCTGCAGCTTGGTCAGTTGAAGAATTTATACCTGTTGGGAGGTCTCTGTAATTTATACCATATCTGAAGCTGACAGCAGGGCTTCGTGGGTTTCTCAGAGAAACTCATGTGACCCATTTTGTGCAATAGCTGATTTTGGTGAAGCTGGAAAGAGATGAGAAGATAAGGGTTATTTATCTAGCAAGAGCATGGGTTGACAACACTGCTAAGCATGGCATGGAATGCTCGGTCACAGGGTCATGGTCACCACAGAACAAGGCAACCCCACCAAATTCATCTCCCTACATGCATGAGGTCTCTTCCTTGAGAGGAGATGGTTTAGGTGATGAACTTATCTTTGGTGATGATTTTGTGCTTGGCTTTCTGCTTACTGGAGCACAATAAGCACTGTGCCCCACCCTGTGCTATTCAAATCAGTCCACTCCATGCCTCAGAGGCTCTTGAGGAGAAGGAAGAAATTTGCATTTGTGCCTGTTCAGCGCCACGGGTAACTCAATCCTTTCCCATCCAAGTCATCAACAAGGAAGGTTTAGCACTAGAGAAGGGCAGGTATTAGGGACCAGAATTTGTGTTCTCCTTTGCTGACGCACTGCCTTTGATTTTTCAGGGTGGGATCACCTTTCTCTGGACCTCAGGACTTTAACTCCTCTCCTTCCAAGGAGTAACCATGTCAGAAGCCACAGGGCAGGTATGATTTAAACGTTTGTCTTGTAAGGGGACAGTTTCTGCTCAAGGTCCCTTTCACCCAGCTATTTTTTTGTGGGGGACCTATAGGAGTTCCACAGCAGTTCTGGGTGGATGGGGACAAGTTTCAGTCCTTGAAATGCCTCTTTTGGAGATGTCTCTGCTGCTTTCCCCTTTCATGGCAAGCACAGAGCTGGGGACATTTGCTGTGTGTTTTCTCAGTCTCATTCCTGCCTGCTTGTGTCCTTCTTGCCGCACTGCAGGGACAGCAAACTGAATTGTGTGCAGTGGGGAAGGAGAGCTCAGGATCCACAGGGGGAGAGCCCCGTGTGTCCCTCCCATGCTGCCACCAGCTGCACCAGGTCTGCCCTGCCTGGCCTCTGCTGAGCCATAGGGATTCCTTTCCTGGGGAGTGCTTGGTCTCTTCTCAGTCTGCAGCCTTTCCTGGGGGAAGCCCAGGCCTCCCAGAAGTAAATCCGAGCTGATAATGATGTTTTGCAGAGGCCAGAGGTTCAGAGGCCCCTGGGCTAAAGGGTTTACCATGCCTCTTTTGTCCTTCCCAGCCAGTAATAGAGGGAAGAGTGTTTACTGCCTCGGGCAATGCTCCCAGTCTCCCTGGCAGCAACAAATTTAATTAGTAACAATACAAGAATCATTAAATAACGTTGGTAATGAATTGCAGACGTTATTGTGCTGCTTTTCACCTGCAAGGATTCCAGCAACAAAAACCTCAGTGGCTACTACATCCCATCAGGGCTTGCCCAGGGCGGCTGAGCTGGTGCAAATGAACCTGCTGAGGTGAACAAACCCCGCAGGGAGCAGACTCTGGCTCTGATGCACTTCCAGGGACGCTGACGCTGTGTCAGCCACCCAGGGATTAATCACTGCAGCTTGCATAGGTGCGCCTGGCACTGCTTTAGGGCCACCCTCCTGGCTTTTTTTTTCTTTACAAAAATAAGCTGCATTTCTCATTTAGTTCCTCTGTGCTCATTGCCTCCAAATCCCCCTGATGCTGTCTTTCCCTAGTTTTCCACTCTCCTCCCATTTCTCACCCATCTACAGGCTCTGTCTTCACCTTCTCTAAAGTCTGTGCCTGTCCCAGGGCCATGGTGACACACACAGATTCCTGCCCTGGAGATCCCCATTCCCAGAGTCAGGATATTACAGGTAAAATGAGCAAGAAAGTAGCAGGAAATTCCTCCTCCGTGTCAGCATGTCCCAAGGGATACAATTCACCGATTCACCCTTGGGTGTAAGGTATTGGGCCAGCTTCGTGCTTCGGTCAGCATCCAGGCTTGGCTCCGTCCTCCCGACAGCAGAGGGTGCCCGGGAACCGGGAATGCTGAGCTGGAGACATCGCCTGGGGCTGCCCAGCTCCCGAGGGTCTCACAGCCGGGAATTCTGTCAGCATAAAAGACACCAGGGGCCAGACACTGCGCCCACTGCACATCGCAGTGAATACCGAGTTACACACCCTGTCTGGGTTTTTTGGTTTTTAGTCTCCAGAGGAGGAAAAGAGGTGAGAAAGGGAATGTTTCCATCTCTTACGAGTTTCCTTGGTTTATCAGATTCCCATTGCACAGTTTGTTGTGCAATTCCTTGGAAAGCAGAGTTCTGTGGGTATAGGCAGGGTAGATGGGGGATAGGTATGGTGGCTGGGTCTGCTGTTGTCCTCCTAATGACACTAGGGAGAGATCTAAATAAATAAATAAATAAATAAATAAATAAATAAATGTTTGGGGGATTTTTTAGTGAGGAAAAGCTGAGCTGTGAACACCCCTGGTTATCACTTTTAAATCAGTCACCAAAACTGCTCTCAGCCAACTCCACACAGAGCAGGATTATCCATCCAGGTCCCCGCTCTGACAGGGCTGGGAGTGGAGGCCGTGGGGGTTTGTGCTCTTCTGACCCACTCTTCCTCCTCTGGCTACTGCTGCCCCTTGCTTGAGATGGGGTAGCTATGGGATAGAGGCACACTGAGTGGGATACAACCCAGCAGCCTGTCTGACAGCCTGCTCTGCTTTGGGGACACGTAAACCTGGGGAATTGCTGCTGTGTGACCCCGTGCTGAGCCCAACAGAGCGATGCTGCTTAATTGGAGCTGTTAATGTGCCGTGGAGCTGGTGCGTGTTCCGAGCAGCCGGAGGATGCTTAGGACCCAGGGGAAGCGCTGTGGAGCCCGCCTGGCTGGGCTTGGAACGCTCCTGCCTCCGCAGCCAGGACTTCTCAGGTGTCCCGGTGCAGAGCGGAGCTGTGCAGGCCAGCGGGGCCCTCCTGGCAGCTGCCCCTGCCCCACCTCCGTGCCCATGCTCTGGACCCCCAGGGCACCCATGTGCTGGCCCGGGGACCCCTGCGCACCATGAATGACCAGTACCACCGAGCTGCCCGGGATGGCTACCTGGACCTGCTGAAGGAAGCCACCAAGAAGGACCTGAACTCGCCAGACGAGGATGGCATGACCCCGACCCTATGGGCCGCCTACCACGGCAACCTGGACGCCCTGCGCCTCATTGTCAGCAGAGGGTGAGTGTTGGCCAGGGCACGCTGCTGCTCTGTGGACCACAGGAGCTGGGACCCCCTTCTTCCCCCCTCTCTGCTTGCAGGTCAGTGTGCCCCACAAAATGATGGCTTCTCTCTGTAAGACCCCTACTCCTGTCCTCCCTGCTGTTGGTTCTTGTGCCCCACAAAATGATGGCTAATCTCTGTAAGACCCCTACTCCTGCCCTCCCTGCTGTTAGTTTTCTTTGTTTGTGGTGCTTTGAATCTAATCCAACACTCCTGATAACTGCTCTGTGCTTTCCCAGCTCCTCTGACCCTATAAGTGCTCCTGCCCCCAGCCTGCTTGCAGCACCCTGGGTAGGGATGAGTTCCCCTTTCCAAGTGCTTTGTGCTCTTTTACAGGTCCTGTAAAGACAAACGCATTATGTTGCTGACATGAAAAAAGCCCCTTTAAGTGAGGGGGCAGAGAAAATTTCTGCTCCCTCTGTCCCAAGAGTGCTTGCAGAGGGATGTGTGCAGTGCCAGCTGGCAGTGGGTGGCACTTGTCTGTTTTACCCAAAGCAAGGTCTCAGTATGTGACCCCTGGGCAGCTTGTTGTGCACTTGGAGCCTGGGAAATTCAGGTTTTCCAAGAGCAGTGTCCCCCACAGGGCCTGCTCCATACTCATCTGTCTCTCTGTTCCTCACCCTGGGCTGCCAAATCTTAAAGAGTTTCTGGCTTCCTAAATATGGATATGGTGGAGAGGTGGGAGTGCGATTAAGGGGACTTGTCAGACTGGAGGGATTTACACCTTGGTGTTGGGGGAACACACAAGGTCTGTGCTAAAGCATGACCTGCCATTCCCAGCTCCCTCTGAGGCAGTCTGTGGCTCTCCAGTTCTTACTAAGCCCCTCACGACACATCCCAGTGCTTCTTTCTGCTCCAGTAGCTCTTCTGAGCACCTCTTTTAATGCCATCCAAGCTGGAGTGGCTTCTGCCTTGTAGTGAGAGATTGGTGGTGCTGATTTTGATTTATGTATTTCTAGTATTGCGGGATGGGACTGAGGTCAGCAGCCTGGATGGACATCACACCTCCTTGGAAGGGCTTGGTGGGCTCCCAAGCAGGGATTTTTTGTGCACCCTGGCCTGTGTTAGCAGCTCTTGTACCTGACCAGCCATATCTCCACTGCACCTGTTCCTGGGCTCTTGCCATCTCCTGATACTCTGGTTTGCTTGTGCAAAACATTCAGGCAGAACCTCAGCTGTGCTCACAGGCAGAGCTCCTCCATCCATTGTTGTCCTTTCATTGTAAATAATTTCCTTTCAGATCCTGAACTGAAGGCTGTGTACAGAGTGGCTGTGTACTTTGGGAAGTCCTGGTGCTGCAGGAGTGTGTTCAGGAAGAGACTATTTCTGATCTGGAAGGGAGAGAGCAAGACAGTGTTCTGAGTGGAGTGTCCTGACATGGTTCAGGGCTGAGAGCCCTGAGATGCTTCCCTGGGTGGGGCTCTGTGACTCCCTGTGTACTCCAGGAAAGACTGTGCCCAGCAAAAACCTGTCCAGAGCTCCTGTCAGGACAGGAATTGCTAGCCAGGGTCAGAGAGACATAGGAGGAATGCTCAGGGGATGAGAGCCTGAAGTTAAAAATGGTTCCAAAGACTCTGATGGCCAAAACGTCAACCTGGAAGATCCAAGTGGTGGATGAATGCCCCTCCAGAAAGGCAAAGCCTTTTGGACTTACTTTATAATCTCTTTATATCACTGTATCTCCTCATATTGCTCATCTCCATCACAGGGCACCCTGCAGCACCATTGCCTGCCCTGCCAACCCCCATCCAAGCCAGCAGTTTCTGCCTCTCCACAAAGCCCAAGGGCTGCTTTTTTAAACTCACATTGGATTAAAAGGTCCTTGTGGGCTCAAATTGTGTTCGAGTGCAGCTTGGCTGCTGTTTAATTAACAACCTAATATACATTTGTTTCTGACAAGGAAAATAGCCTGGCAAAAGCCCAGTGCCCTTTACATGATGGATGGTGGAGCAAGGTGTGTGGCTGTGGGACTGCAGGATGTGTTTGCATTTGTGCATTCATCTCCATGTGTCAGATCCTTGCCCAGGGCCACAGAGAGACCAGCAACATGCTTGAAATGGAGGCAGGCACACCTCTTTGGGCTTTGGGTCTACCTAAGGCAGAAAAGCCCCAGCCTGGGGACAAGGGTGCCAGAGAGGTGGAATTGTGCCAGAGCCAGGATAGCCTGAGGACAGACCCTGTAATTTTCTGCCAATGCCCAGGATGATGTTCCACAGTATTTAAGCTTTGTTCAGAGATGAAACTTAATGCTGGGTTATATATGTTACTATTACACCTACACTATAACGACTGTGAGGCAAGAGGGAAGGCCCCTGAGCATCCCAAAATGTCAGAGAATCGCTCTCCGGCCTCTGCTGCCAAAATATTCCTCCTTTGGTTCAGAGAGCCCTGCACTACAAGATGGGAATGTGGGGCTATGGCATGGAGCAGCATCTGGAGGAGTGGAGGCTTTGGGGCTGGGCTGGCTCCGTGCAGGGATGGGGTGGGAGGCATCTTCAGGGTCTGAGTGGGCTGGTGAGCCTCCATCTGGGCTGCATAGGGATGTCAAAGCACAGAGGATGATGGGGAGTCCTGGGACAGCAAGAAACACCAAAATCTCCTTGCCAGGTCTAGGCAGTGGCACTGGTGTCCAAACAAGATGGGACATTGAGTGCTATGAAATGCCCCATTGAGGGTGGCCAGAGGAGCCCTGAGAAAGCAGGGCTGTGGGAGAGGACTTCTGGGGGCCAAAATCATGGCTCTAATGGTCATGCTAGGCCGATGGACACATCTAGGCTCTGTCATCACATGTGTTCAGCAGATTGTGTGTCAGGCTGGAATCAGGAGGGGGAAAGAAATCCTTTGGTAGATCCTTGAGGGAAGCTGGTTGCCCCAGCCCACAGGGAAGGGGTAATAAAACAGGCTTATTGTGCTGCCCCTACCAGCTGCTGATGTGTTTGTGCCTCTGTGCACCCTTTGCAACAGACAGAGAGAGGTTTGGGATGGAGGGATCAGCAGTGGCTCATCCTTCTTGTTTGCCACACAAAAAGCCTTTTTCTTCCCCCTGGCCAGGCTCCAGTGAGGAAAACAAACTCAATTAACATGATGGCTGGGAAGAGGCAGGCAAGTTGGCATTTAGCATTGCAGCTTTTCAGACACAGTAATTCTTCAGTGTGGCTCGTTAGGCATTGCTGTGGCAGTGGCAGGCACCGGTCCAGCTCCAGTTATAGGCAGGTCTGGGGGCCTTGGCTGGGATCAGCCTAGACTTCCTTGGAGGGGACAGCAGGAGAAGGGAGGATGTGTCTGCAGGTCCTCCTTGGAGGGGACAGCAGGAGAAGTGAGGATGTGTCTGCAGGTCCTCCTTGGAGGGGACAGCAGGAGAAGTGAGGATGTGTCTGCAGGTCCTCCTTGGAGGGGACAGCAGGAGAAGTGAGGACGTGTCTGCAGGTCCTCCTTGGAGGGGACAGCAGGAGAAGGGAGGATGTGTCTGCAGGTCCTCCTTGGAGGGGACAGCAGGAGAAGTGAGGATGTGTCTGCAGGTCCTCCTTGGAGGGGACAGCAGGAGAAGGGAGGATGTGTCTGCAGGTCCTCCTTGGAGGGGACAGCAGGAGAAGTGAGGACGTGTCTGCAGGTCCTCCTTGGAGGGGACAGCAGGAGAAGGGAGGATGTGTCTGCAGGTCCTCCTTGGAGGGGACAGCAGGAGAAGTGAGGATGTGTCTACAGGTCCTCGGTCAGCTTTGTCACCCAGGAGAGCTGGTCCTCATTTTCTCTTCTTACAAAAACAGGGGGCACAGATACTTTGGATGTCAGTGGCAGAGGAGACAAGTGGCTCAGCCATGGTTTGGAGCTGAGGGTGGCTCCTGACATCAGCCAGGCTGCTCGAGGGCCGGGGCAGGGCTGCAGCGGAGGTTGCAGCAGAGGCACGTGAAGGTGATGTGCATCCTCTGCACGCCCCAGGGCTGGAGGCCCCGTGGGAGCCAGGCAGCCTGGCTGTGTTGGTGGGGACCTTCCCGGGGTGATGAGCAGATGGGAAGGTGAAGGAGCAGGGTGGGGCACTGTTGCAGCTTCCTGGCTTCCCGCACCTGAGCTGGCTGCTGGGAGTGAGGGTGAGCCCTGGGCACGTTGAGGTGCTGAACCAGCAGACATGGCCCCGGGCACTGCCCAGCATGAACACTCACCTGGACAGGAACTGCCAGCCTGGCTTTCTGCTGGGACAAGAGGCAGAGAGTCCTGGCGTGATCCTCATCCACAGCATCTCTGCTGGATTTTTGGGGGTTTGAACCTGGAGGACAATTGAATCCTCGGGCTACCACCACCTGGGGAAAACTTGGAGACCAAAACCTCATCTCTTCTGCTGTTTTCTAGGCTTTGCTTGGGTCATTGCCCTGACTGACTATGCTGAAGGTAGTGAGGATTGTTCCTCAAGCCATAAGTTATTTTTTTCACTCTTCCTCTATCCATAACCATTTTATGGGAGCAGAGACACTCTGCACCCAGCTGGCTCCTGGTCTGAGGGCCCAATTCCTCACACACAGCCATGAGCCAAGGGTGAGCCAGCCCTTTGCTATCAGAGGAACTTCACACATGCAGACAGGGAAGAACATATGTAAGTGCCACTGGATTCCCTGGCTAATTGGGATCCTCTGGGAGAAGCAGAGGGGAAAAACCAGCAGGAAGGGAGTGAGCATGCATGTCATGGTGCAAACAGAGTGACTCAAGAGATGCACATGTCCACCTAAGGGGACCAATTAACAGTGTTTTAATAATGATTATTACAGGAGTTGACTAAGTGCTCAAAAACGCTTTGAAGCTGAGAAGTGCTGCACTTTACACCTATTATTAAAATATATTCCCACTTAGTGGACCCTGCAGTCAGCATCTCCTCATGTGCAGCACCCTGGAGGTGAAGTTTTGCTCAGACAGACACCTGCCAGAGGGAGGGCCTCATGTTTATTATCTGAGTTGAATCAAACGTCTCTACTTTGCAAGTCACCGTTCTTCTTTCCTTCTGATGCATTTTTAGTGCCTGCGGCAGCCATTTATAGGGCAGAGGGCCTGAGATATCTAATTTTACCCTAATACTCTTCTTTCTAGACAGTGGAAATGACCAGGGAAAACTGATTTTGATGTTCTTTCCCCTCACTCTCTGAGGAAAGTAGATCTTCACATATGAAACCCCCAAGACGTCCCTGGCTTTGCCCTCTGTCCCCTGAACCAGACAGACCTGAGAATAGGCTCCAAAAGGTACTTGATGGATAGAGCATCCAAACACTTGGTTTTAGGAGCAAGACTGTTTCCAGGGAGTCCACTGCTCAGTCACTGTCCACATCATGAGTCCACATACACACTGGGACCCTTGGGGTGCCCTGGCTCACCTGCCCACACGTGCCAGGCACACAAGTGCCCTTTCAGAGCACACAAAACAAACCAACAGCCCTTCACGCACTGGAGTCTCTCCACCAGCACCAGCAGTTCCATGTGGAACAGGTTCACTGGCTCTTTAAATCCAGCTCCATCAATAATTTATTCCTCTCTTGCAATTCATCAAATATTTATCCTCCCCATGCATTTCCCAGCCTGGACATGTCACTACGAGGGTAGAAGCAAGGGCTGGGAAAATACTGCTCCTGGAAACTGGGCATTGCTAGAGTACTATCAGATCCCTTCCCTCCTTTTCTTGGCTTCATGGCTCCTCAATCCTGTGATCTCCTGCCTTCCCCCTCCTCATCACCCATCTTTGACACCTTTTTCTCCTTTTATGAGAGATGTCAAAGGCTCTGGTTCAGAAGTCCTGAAGGGTTTGTGGGTTTTTTTGGCCTTACAGAGTTTCAAACCTATTGATTAACTTGCTGAATTTGCCAATGAAATCAAGGTTGTACTCATTATGTTTCTGTAACTTTAGTGAAAATATGTTTATGATGGAGTTCCTGTTCATGCTCCCACAGAGAAAGCTGCGTGCACCTCATAGCAGCTTTCAGGGAGTGAAGTTAGTAAATTCATGCTCTGGTGCAAATAATCTCCAGCTTAACCTCTGGACAGGCTTTATTGCTTTTCTAAAGCCTAGGGATTGCAAACTTGGCATTACACTGACGGGGCAGTTCCTCTCTGTCTGTGCTGCCCCTTGGGCAGTGCTCCAAGCAGGCTGCAGGGTCCCTGTGTGGGGATGAATATGCTGGATGAGGCTGTTTCTGGGGTTTGTGCACTAGCACAAAGTGATGAAGGTGCAAAGCAGCAGGGCAGAGAAGTCCCTCTGCTTCTGTGCTATCCTGCTCTTTCCCTGGAGAAGTTTTTGGACTCTTTGAAGTCAAACAAGCCATAGCTCAGAGCACATGGGATTTGGGAGAGGGTTCTGGGCTCAGCTGCTCCCAGCTTTTGTCATCACAGACCCTAAAGCAGCGAGGAGTTAAGTAACCCTTGCTGAGGGTCTCGAGCATGCATTTAGGGAGTTGGATCTGATGATCCTTGATCGGTCACTTTGATCTCTCTGTGTTCTGTGATTTGCTTTCTGCACTCCCGGTGTCACCATGGATTGGGGCTGGGTCTGTGTGGAGGAGGAACAATGCTGGGTTCCTCTGGAGTTCACTGAAAGGGTGGTGTGGGAACAGACAGGAGCTGTGCTGAGCCAGAGCTCTGCCAGAGCCCTGCTGCCCACGAGGAGTTGCTCCTGAGGGTGGTGGAGCTGCCCAGCCTTAATAAAAGGCTTTGCCATACCCATGTGCACGGAGGGAGAGCGCCCTGTTGACAGATACTGCTGCTGGCTGCATATCATTAGCACACAGCCCGAGAGAGGGCTGGTGCCAGCAGGGGTGTGAACTCTCTCTCGTTTCACCTGAGCACAAATACACAGGAATGTCAGGAGGACAGACTTCCCTTGAATCCCAGGTTTGTGTTCATCCTGGCACAGGAGGCAGGAGATGTGGGCAAGTGGTTGTGTCCCACCAGCAGCTCGCTGGGGCAGGGGCTGGCATGGTGCGAATGGAGATGCTACTGGCAGTGTCCAGCTCCTGAGGAGTGCAGAAACCTAATCTGCACTTTCTCTGAAACTGGATTCTCAGGATGTGCTAATACCAAAGTGCTTCCAGCCATGCTATCAAGAGCAAGCGTGGTACAGCAAAATCCCCCACAAAACCCCAATGCCGAGGCCAATGACAGCAAAATCACTCTTATTCTCTCCTGCCAACATTCCTCTTTGTGCTGCAGATTTCCCCATGTGCCAAGGATCGGGTGGGTGGGGAGGTATGGCAGCTGGGGGGTTTCAGAACCATTGCTGAGAATGGATGTTTCATGGTGAGATCCCAAGGTGTCCAGCCAAGGATGTGGCATAGAGAGAGGCATTCTGGCATGCCCCCTCACAGAGTCTGAATGAAGCCAAGTTCTGAAGACAGAATCTGACTAGAATTTAATGGGATATTTGAGATTTGAAATTTTATAACAAGTTTTAGGTCTGAGATGGAATTAGACCTGTATCTCAGTTCTGGGCTATTCAGAATGTGGCTTGCCTGTCTCAAGAAGTTGGTTTGATGTGGGAACACATTTATCTTGAGACCTAAATTCAAGTCACATTGCCACAGACAATGGGGCATGTGATTCCATGTTAGTAGTACTCCCCTCCAGAAGAACCCTCTAAAATTAAGTTGCAAGAACCATAGGTGCATAGCTTGATATTTCAAGGAGTAAACACTTCATGGTGCTGATTTGCCCCTGCACAGCTGGGAATATCTCGGTGAAGTCTGTCATCAATCCCTGCATGATAAACAGTTGGTTTTCTTGCTGCCTAGGGGTGATCCAGACAAATGTGACATCTGGGGGAACACCCCCCTCCACCTGGCAGCAGCCAATGGCCACCTGAACTGCCTCTCCTTCCTCATCTCCTTTGGGGCCAACATCTGGTGCCTGGACAATGACTACCACACCCCACTGGACATGGCAGCCATGAAGGGGCACATGGAGTGTGTGCGGTACCTGGACTCGATTGCTGCCAAGCAGAGCAACCTCAACCCAAAGCTGGTGAGCAAACTGAAGGACAAGGCCTTTCGGGATGCGGAGCGGAGGATTAAGGACTGCGTGAAGCTGCAGAAGAAGCACCACGAAAGGATGGAGAAACGGTACAGAAAGGAGATGTCAGATAATTCGGATACCATGAGCTTTTCCAGCTACTCAAGCAGCACCTTAAGCAAGAAGTTCCAGCACATGTCTATGGTGACTTCCTTGCCATACTCACAAGCCACCATCCACGGCACAGCCAAGGGAAAGACAAAAATACAAAAGAAATTAGAGAAGAAGAAGCAGGTGGACGGGACATTCAAGATCTACGAGGATGGCAGGAAAAGCGTGCGGTCCCTGTCCGGTCTGCAGCTGGGCAACGACGTCATGTTTGTGAAGCAGGGCACGTACGCCAGCCCCAAGGAGTGGACTCGCCGCAATATCCGAGACATGTTCCTCACGGAGGAAGACACTGTCTCCCGTGCCATAAGCGACCCAGGTTTGCACATGGACTCGGCCCACTCCGAGGTCAGCACTGACTCTGGACACGACTCCTTGTTCAACCGCCCCGGGCTGGGCACCATGGTGTTCCGGCGCAACTACGTGAGCAGCGGGCTCTTCGGGATCGGCCGGGAGGACGGGGCCGCGCCGGGGGAGGACAGCGCCGACGGGATGGGCGTCAGACTGCGGAGCCGCCTGCAGCGCTCGCCAAGTCTCAACGACAGCATTGGCAGTGCCAACAGCCTGCAGGAGAGGAACGAGGAGGAGCTGCCCTGGGATGAGGTGGAGCTGGGCTTAGATGATGATGATGAACCAGACACAAGCCCCTTGGAAACTTTTCTGGCTTCCCTGCACATGTTTGAATTCATCTCCATCCTGAAGAAGGAAAAGATTGACTTGGAGGCCCTCATGCTGTGTTCAGACAATGACCTGAAGAGCATCAATATCCCTTTGGGCCCCAGGAAAAAGATTGTGGATGCCATCCAGAGGAGAAGACAAACGCTGGAGAAGCCAGATGTCATTGTAGACACTGAACTGTAAGTGGGAGATGGGGTGTCTAAAGGGTTAAACCCTTCAGCAGGTGGAGATATGGATAATGTAAGGTCTTGTTTTCAACCTGATTTGGAAGAGTAAAAGTTCGGATAACCTCAGCACTTCTGTGTGTGGGCAAATTCCTGCTCGTGTGGACAGGCTGAGAGTTTGGAGAGGTGGCAGTAGCGTTAGTTCATTACTCAACAACCTTAATGTAACTGGGCAGGACATTAAGCACTTGTTTTGTTTCATTCCCCATTTGAATGCAGACTGCTTTGTGGTCTGATGCTTCTCAGTCCATCTAGCTGAGATTTTCAACCACACTTAGGCTTGTCTTGACTCTTCACCTTTTGAAGACATTAGGAAATCAACCGCAATTCCCGGTGGGAGCAGGCTGACGGCAGTGCCAGGTGGCCTTGGGAATCCTTCCCCAAATGCTTGAGATCTTACTCAGGCCTCTGGAGGTTGCATATCTGGGTTGGAGTTGTTGCTGTTTTATGGTGTTTCCAGGGTTTGCTTGGTAGGGTTAAAGGACTGTGTACCTGTCAGAGAGGTGAAGGGAAGGCTACATGCACTGCCACCCCAATTCACTGTGTTGTTTGAGCTTCCTGGGTCCTCATGGTGCTGATAGATTTTTCTCTTCTCCTTTGCAGATAGCAGCACAGCAGCATCTTTTTTTTTTTTTTTTTTTTTTTTTTTAATTCTCGAGAAACAAACCCAGTTCTAAATTGCCAGAAAACACAAGCCAGAGACTCCCTTTCTGGGGCAGCTGAAAGCTACAGCCATCCCCAGCAGTCCCACGGGACTGCTCCCTCACTCTGCTCCCTGTCGGTTCCTGGCATGGAGGGATGACAGCCGAGACTGGACCAGGCAGGTCCAACCTCCAACCTTCAAGGGACCACGGTCTCCCACTCGCTGGAGGAAGGAGTGAGCTGCACAGATGGCTGGGACGCTGCTGTCGCAGGCTGTGAGACCACACTAAGCCATGAACAGAAGGAGATAACGTGATATTTTCAAAGGGATACAAAATAAATAATTACAAGCTATTCTTCCCTGAGCAAGTGGTTGTTTTGGGGTTTGGGCTGGATGAGCAGAGGGTTTGGGAATTCTGCTCTCTCTCCTCTCATGTGGTGAGAAGCATCATCCTGTCTGGCACTATGTTTTTGGAAGGGAGTTCTGATGGCAATGGTCTCAGTTTGAGATGTGCCAGCTGTGACTTTGGCCAGCTGGTGCCCAACAGGCCTGTGAGTCTGGTCTGTACTGTCTTGAGGGCAAAATCAAGAATGAAGATGATGCTTCAAACGTGTTGGTAGTTGCCTTCCAGTGGTCAAATGGTTGTTTCACAAACGCAGCGTTTCTGTCCCATCTCTCCAGGCAGAGCTGTGTCAGCAGTTTGTGTGCAAAGAACCTTGTCTCTGAAATCCAGCAATTTCCCAGGACTGAGCACAGCACCAGGCTGCAGGCCAGGCCTCTTCTGAGCATCCCTGATGCATCAGTGCTCCAAGCAGAGCTCTGAGCCGCAGTGTCAGGTGTTTCCAGAGACCCATCCCACTGACCAGTGCACTCCCAGCACCACTGTGCCATTTCACATGTGAGCTATGAATGGCTCCTGGCTTCCAGGAGTTACTGGGGTGCAGCAGCAGGATGGGCAGTGACATATCCTACCGAGGGAGAGTCAGCAGCCTGTGACATGGGCTGTTGGCAAAGTGCCTGTTCAGGTTGTGATGCAGACTGCCAGATGAGAAAAATGCCGTACACGTTACTGGTGTTGCTTATCCACCTATCTCAGGAATGAAAATGATAAGAAATTACCTATGTGTGCTCACCCCAGGCCAGGCTGGGATTTGGACCACACTTAGTCCCTTTGGAACTGCAGAGGCTGTGGTTATGCTAGCTGGAAGATGGGGATTTGTTTGGTGTGAAGCAGCTGTGCTGCTCCCTGTCTGTGCTTGCCCTGGTGTGTGGGTGTAGGGGAGGAAAATAACTCTTTGCAAGTTAGAAATACTCAGGTGTTTCTCTGCCCTGCTGCTCCCCCAGTGGCTGAATCCCTACCAGGAGAGTGTGGGGTCCCAGCCTCAAGCCACTGCACACAGAGATGCTCTGGCATCCCCTGAACACCATCACTGCACTGAGGGTCTGAGCTCTTTCTGCACGGATGTAAACGGATTCAGTTTTTTTAAGCATTTTTTAAGACCTAACAGTGCATTTATATTTGAAATTACAAATTCTGACTAACTTCTGGCTCAATGTACAGGCAAGAGGGTGGGTGATCAGATGTGCTGAGTCAGTGAGCTCTCCAAGAAGGCTGCACTCCCGCTGCCCCAGCACTGTTTTCTTTGGTCCCTTTCCAAATCCCGAGGCTGGTGTCCCAGCAGGGACAGCGATGGCTTGGCTGATGTCACAGCTCCCTCTGCCGGGACAGGAGCTGGGAGAGCAGGATAGGACCCACAGCCCACTGGGAGCACTGCTGCCTGCAGGACTGCACCCTCGGGCCCGTTTTCAGGTGAGGCTGTGATCACTAAATTCACCCTCTTCCTCATGAACATGTGAACCTCATCCAAGCCCTCTGCCCCTTCTCGGGATAACTGCCAGAGCATCAGCTGCCCACCATGAACCAGTGCCCAGCCCCAGTTTCCCCGGGGATGGACTGTGCCTTTGGGTCTGTGCTGGGTGCAGGAGGGGAGGGATTTGCCATGGCTCACTCCATTGCCACTCCCGTGCAATGGGAACCAGTTTATCCCAGCAGATGACAAAGAGAAGTGGATCTATTGGCTTAGCACCCACTGGAGACTTTAGCAGGCCAGGCACTGGGATGTGGAGGGTATTTCAGAGTCTAGGCACCTGGGGTGTGCACACTCCCTGACTTTTGCCCTTTTGCTCAGGAGCACTGAAGCAGCTGCTGATGCTGAGCTGATGCGGACAGAGATCCTTTCTCCCAACTTGTCTTTCCTTCAAAGAGCCAGGGAAAGGTTTGGTGACATGACAGTACCCAAGTGCCATGGCACATGTCCCTGCATAGTTAAGACCAAGCCCAGAAATGCCACTTGGGATCACCAAGCCCTGAGATCAATGTGGCCACCTCTGTGACACAGGAAGAGACCAAAACGGAGCTGTGACATCAATGCAGTGAGGCAGAGCCCAAGAGATGGGGTCTGTGGGATGAGAAGGGTGTCCTGTGGACATGGGGGGGCTGTCATTAACACCAAAAACCCCAGAACAAGCACCTGCATTTGAATCTCATGCATGTTCTTTGTCTCGAGGTTTGGTCCATGGTTTCCAACCAAGTTTGTCCCACAAAGCGTGTGGCCACAACCCTTGCAGGACACAACATCCAGAGCCATGGCCAAAGAGATGTTTCCTGCATTCCAACCCCCTCTGTCCAGCCGGGCTCACGATGGAGCATGAGCCAGGAACATCACTGCACCCAGGTTCTCAGGGTTCATCCTGCCCTGTGGCTGCTCTGACCATCGGAGCTTCCACGGGGAAACCTCACGGTGCTCATTACGCTCCATGACCGAGAACAACAAGCTCCTTTTGGAGAGGGCGCTTGTGAAAGCAGGGTGGAGGCCAGGGCTGGCACACCCTGGAGAACACCCTTAAATACCCTCCCAAACAGAAACCCAGGCAGGCAGCAGGTTTCCCTGACCCGCTGCTGCCAAGGAGCAAGCACTGTCCCTGCCACAGACTCAGGGCAAGTCCTGCAGTGGATGGCAGCATGTCCCCATCAGGGAGCCAGTGATCCTGGGGATGGCTGTCCTGTAACACCCCAAGCCACAAACCCCAAACCACCCTGTGTCTGTGTTAAATGGGGCTTTCCAGCAAAACCAGTCCCCTGGGTTTAGCTTGGACACGTGTTTCCTTGTCCCTGACCGTGTTAGAGGTGGTGTGTAGGGAGTGGAGAAAGGCCAATGGGCCATGCCAGAGGTCCAGGCATGGCATGGACACTTCATCCTTGAGCTGGACAGCCTCAGCTCCTCTACTGAAGGAGCATTGCTCACAAAAGTGATGCTGATTGCCAGGCCCTGCCTTTATCTCCAGGCAGCTACTGCAAGGGGGGATATGTTGGCACTCATCAGCACTCAGATGCTCCAGACCACGGTCTGGAGTGGGGGGAGAGCAGGGGAGGGTTTTGGGGGTGACTGAGGTCATAGAGTGGTGGTGTTGGAGATGGGGGTTTGCAGGCAGCATTGCAGCATTTCTGCTTGGCTGCTGGGTACCACTGCTGGCCCATGGGGACGTGGCTGCTTCTCCAGGCTTCTGACAGCACCTGGATATTGGCTGGTGCCCTTGGATGGCACACGTGCTCGGCCTTGCCATGTGGGACTGACATGGGAACTGAGAAAGGACATCAACCACAGGACACCAGCAGAACCCACAGGACACTAGATAGGTCCTAGAGGCAGAGAGGACCAGGAGGAGGCATTTTACTTGGGCTGGAGCATCTGCCTGGTACTCCTCCTCCCCAGGTTCACCTGGAGTTGGTGACAGCCACAGTGCCCACACTGGAGGGTGATTCTGGGGTCCAGGACCTGCCAGGCCAGCATGGGCCATTTCACCCCTCTTGCTTAACTATTTCCTGCCCATCCCACCAGGGATTCACTTCCTGGCCCAGCAGCTGAGTAATGCAGGGCTGCAGGAAGGTGCATGGCCAGGAGGGAGGCAAGGGGCAAGGGAATTGTTGCAGAGCACCCCCTGCATGCTCTGGATTTGCCAAGCCTTGCATGGTGTTCCCTGGCAGCCCAGCACAGGGATGGATGTGGCACTGATATGGCCTGGGTTGGATGCAGCACCTCATGGGGGGCTTGAAACTGCTTTTGGGAGTCTCCATGGCTATTCCCAAAACCAAAGTGCCCCAAAAGGCAGGAGCATGGACACAGCTCAGCATGTCTTCCCAGTGACAGTTGCTGAGTGGGCTGGGAAGGTGGAAGAAGCTGAGGGCCATTTTATTTAACTTCTGACTTTAGATATTAACAGGGAAAATAATTTTCTACATTTGCAATTCATCATTT